GGCAGCAGGTAATGGTCTAAATGCTTGGGTCTCTGCTTGACCTGTGCCTCTGACATGGTAGGGCCCTTGCTCTCCTGGTAAATTAGGAAGTGAGTGAACATATGCAAGATCTCACTGTCTTAGTCTCATTCTGCCTCTTAAGTAAATGAGTCTTAAACAAACAAACAAAACAAAACAAAACCTGTTTTCCTAGGCAATGTTCTCTTTCTCTCTCAGGTTCTTAGTCTTGGGGCCGTAGGACCTCGTGACTCATGCACACTGGCTGCTCCCAAGCCCCAGTGCCACAAGGTGTTAGTGTTCGATTTGATGGCAGTGGACTCTGGTTTCCTGCTGCCTCAAATTTAACCCAAAGTTACCCCCTCCACAGGGGGTGGGGCTGGCTCCTGGTTGTGGATCAGTCTTTAGCTTCTACTTCTTTTTGACCCTTACCGGCACGTAGACTGAGTGATGAGCTCGTCGAGGCTGGTCCCGGGAGTCTGAATCACAACCACACAGACTCCCAGACCCGATGCCTCAGATTCATTTCCCTTTTATCGTGTACAGTGTCAGATCAGTGCAACTAACTTCAGAGTTGTCAGAAATAGCAATTATTGCGAAATTATTCTTGGGTCACAAGTAACTGCTATCTTACAGGAAGAGGAGAAAATCCACTGAAGGAAGGAAAAGGTATCCTACACTTGTTTTCTTGGTGCTGAGGGTGCATTCTTACATCTTCTCTAATTGTCCATCACTTATCCAATGAACACATTCAAGCTCTTTTTGCATTTGGAATGTATGGGCATGAAATTCATGGTGAGTGCAGCTACCATGGGAATACTTAGGACTTGTGATGAATTGCTCTGCTGAAGGAGATGAAAATGCTTTATAAAAAACATTACTCATAGGACCCAGTGCTGTAGTCTAGTGGCTAAAGGCCTCGCCTTGCATGCACCAGGATCCCATAGGGGCACTAGTTCCTGTCCTGGCGGCCCTACTTCCCATTCAGCTCCTGCTTGTAACCTCAGGTTGGGGGAGGCGGGTAGCAGTTGAAGACAGCTCAAAGCCTTGGGACCCTGCACCCGCGTGGGAGACCAGGGGAAGGCTCTGGGCTCCTGGCTTTGGAACAACATAGCTCCAGGAATTGTGAGCCACTTGGGAAGTGAATCAACAGAGGGAAAATCTTCCTCTCTGTCTCTCCTTCTCTCTGTATATCTGCCTTTCTGATAAAAATAAATAAATCTTTTTAAAAATGCCTCAGAGTCAGCATTATTATGCCCATTTTAACAAAAAGGGAAAGTGAGGTATGTTACATTTATTGTAAAGTTACTCATTCAATTCAATTGTTTGAAGGTTTCCCTCAGGGTTGAAGTGTTACAAACCACATCCCCAAAAAACAGTGCTGAGAGGTAGGAGCTTTGAGACATAGGTAGATCAGGAAGTTCTGCCTTCACAGGTGTGTGATTGCCATACAGTGGGAGTGAGCTCATTGCCACAGGAGGGGTTTGTTAAGAAGGAGAGCAAGTCAGCACAGTGGTGGGAGATGCCTTGGCCTTAACCACATTGGACATCTTGCTTTCCTACCATTCATGCTGACCCACTGGAGGTACAGTTACACAGTACACACCGAAGATATTTGCAAACCAAGGAAAAACTTTTATTTTTTAAGTGCTATACGCATTCTTTAAAGAGAAATTGTAAATATAATTAATTCAAATTTCTTCTCTGGTGTATCAGATGCACACTTAAGAAGAAGAGCCATACAGAAGTTATAAAAGAAACTCCAGAGGGAACCCTGTGACTCACTGATGATTCTCCAGCCAGCCCCATCCTCTACCTGCTACCTCTGTATATTCAGGTGTTAAGGGACTGCACAGAAGGAGTGGGGTTAGGTTCGTAGGGGACGTAGAAGAGATATTAGGAGTTCCAGTAAGTTGTCAGTACATCCACAAAGCAAAGACTGGCCAAAGTTTAGACTTGATCGCATGTGAGATTATTAATAAGTAACTTGAATTGAGCTGTAGAATCTGGATATAGTGTTCCTTTTATAGCAGACACACCCTTACCTACATGCACGTATTGGGTTTCCTGAACCATTATTTAGGACATGGTATGAGTACAATAAATGTAAAATGGTTAGGATAGAAGAAGAGCATGCTGTTTTTCTCAGCTGTCTGTATTAAACCAGTTATCTGGTGACCTGGGAAATTAATTACTCCACAGACTTTCAGTAGGGGTAGGCACATGGATCAGCAGATATAAATGAGAGTGATCTTCCATTGGATTCTTTTCTGCGAAGATGAATGCCTCAAAGGACGAGGATGTCTTACTTCAGACTGTTTTGTGTATTTCTATTCAATTGACTCAGAAAACAGATTACCCTCCTTTCCACCCAGGGTCACAACAATGGACACAGCATGTGACATTGTACACTTCCAATCTTAATAGAACAAAGCTAGGCTTCGCATTGATGACTGAGGCATAGGGACACAAGCCCAAGATTTCAAAAACACTGAGGTTCTGTGTTCTCCAGGCTTCTTCTATGCTATTGTCTGTCCTTGGCTGTGTGGAGGCAGAATGCTGGGTAGTTGCAGAACGGGAAGTCTGTTCAGCAAGGAGCATGGCATCTCTGCTCCCACGTTCCGCCAAAGCTCTGCAGCACAGCCTGCTCCAGATTCAGGGCCCCTTTCAAAGTGAGGCACTCAGGACCTGGGCCTTGCTTCGTGTGCATCCCACTGAGGACAAGGTATCCCCCTTCCTGCAGTGTCCCACCGTCAGCTGGGAGCCCGGATTAGCTAGGACCACCTGATTGAGCAAGCAGGGCATTTGGTGTGCTCTCTGCTCTGTCCCAGACACAGGAGGCTGACACAAACCCACGTTGGCCCCAGCGAGGGCTCAGAGTGGTACAATGGGAGCGTTTGTGTCAGAGAGAGGACCTCCAGGAGGCAGGAGGCTGTGCCAGCCGTGTCTGGAGGCATCCGTGTGACCGAGGGGCACAGGAAGGTGGAGCAGCTCTCCTCGTGGAAGGGAAGCAGAGGTCAGGGGCCCCTGAGCATTGTCTGCAGGAGGAGCTGCCTGGACAGCAGGTTGTCACTGTCTCTGAACACATGCATGGAGGCTGCCTTGCCAGAGCCAGCATGAGGGAAGGGCCAGAATTGGTAGGAGAGAAGGATCAGAGAAGGCAGAGGCCAGAATGAAGAGTCAGGCTCCTTAGTACATTCCTCCCTCGCAGGGAGTCCTGTACTTGAAGCTGCATGTCAACAGAGTGTAGAGTAAGTCGATGGATACAACATGGTGAAGAGAAGCCTTGTAGCTTGTCTTACTTGTCCATTCATTAGTACCAGTTTTTCACTAACACTGAACTTGTTTCATTAGGACACCTGATAGCTTACTCAGCACCTTTCTGATCTCTTGGCAGTGTGGACTTCCAGCTCCTCCTTTGAAAGTCATCATCCAGGAGCTGCCTATAGACCCTGCCCCTCCATCTCCTGCCCAGGAGTAGGACAGGTACTGAGGCAAAGATGACCCACCTAATTCCTGTCTCCTTCAGGGTTCTGTGAACACAGAACAGGTTCCCTGTGAACACAGGGAAGTATCCCAGTGGAAAGAATTCTCATACACCAAGCAAAGGATTTAGGTTTCCATATTTTTATGTTTGACAAACTCCAGCTCCTAATAGCCTTCCATTTTGGGGTGCCTGGAAATGCCACCGCCACCTTATTACTCTGAGGGGTGGGGAGTGACCAGTGTCCTGAAGATAACAGAGAAGAAACCCCAAAGAACTTGGATGAGAGCTCAGGGAATGCTCAGCACTCTGGGAGCTGTTGTGTTCACCTGTTACAGACACGTCAAGCCAGCACACTGCTTGTTCCGTGAAACAAGAACTCTCCTTGTGATTAAAGATAAGAAGTTCCCTCCCCAGCCATGAGCATTTGTACTGCAGCCTAAATGCTGCTGCCCTAACCTCTGTCCAGAGCCTGCTGAGGCACTGAGATTTGCTGTTGTGTGTTGCCTGTCCAAGCTCCAGGCCAGTCCTCCTCACAGTCAGGAGAGAAAGGAAGCATTCCATGTGGAGGGGCTGCACGTCCTGGCTAGGCAGGCAGCTGTGTGCCTCCTCACAGCGAGACTGTCTTCTACTCAAATCCCACCTCAACCCCTCCCTCACTTACCAGTCATGCCTGGCAGCGAGCCTCTCTCCTGACAGCTTGCCTTCCAGAGAAGCTTTGTACCCAATAAAGTTAGCTGTCCATTCCATCTAGCAAACCTAGAATGGGAATAATTCACTGATGACTGTTCTGTCTCTATCTTGAAGCACTTACCTTTAAACTCAATGTATCGCATAGAGAGAGTAAGTAATACGGGATAAGATCAGTCTTTTTAGACTCTAGAAATGTTGTCCTTGTTTGACGATGGACACCAAGCAAAATGAGTGAGCAGTTGCTTTATGGGAGATTGTGAGGGGCAAAAGAAAGGAAGGAGATGAAAACAGGATATAGAAGGACAACATGGCTAGAAGAAAAAGAGAACAACAGATAATATTGCCAGTTTGAAGTCATAAGAGCGAGGTTGTTGTTTTTTTTTTTTTAAAGATTTATTTTTATGATTTTTTTATTGGAAAGGCGGATATACAGAGGAGAGACAGAGAGGAAGATCTTCCATCCGATGATTCACTCCCCAAGTGAGCGCGATGGGCCGATACTATGCCGGTCCGAAGCCAGGAGCCTCTTCCGGGTCTCCCGCGCGGGTGCAGGTTCCCAAAGCTTTGGGCCGTCCTCGACTGCTTTCCGGGGCCACGGGCAGGGAGCTGGAAGGGAAGCAGGGCTGCTGGGATTAGAACCGGCGCCCATATGGGATCCCGGGCGTGCAAGGCGAGGACCTTTAACCACTTGCGCCACCGCGCCGGGCCCAGGTTGTTGGTTTTGAATAGTTTTGCATTCTTCCTGGAATGGGGTAAGGTCATCATCTTTAGTGTCCTTTAGCATTATTTAGTAGGTGTATTAATAGAGTAGTGAACCTCAGCATGGCTGGCTTTTGGAAAAGGAAGTTGAGAGACTCAGAACTCAGCCACTCTTGTGACTTCCATCTCCAGTCCTCTTAATCCTGGCCAAGACTGCAGCCTTGGATACTTTCTTCCGATCATAAGCCAGGCCCAGGGCAGCCATGCAGTCGATGAAGAATGTGGTGAAGTTGAGGTGCCAGCGGTACTCGCTGGTGGAGTAGTCATAGGGAAAGGAGTGGTGGTAGTTGTGGAAGCCCTCACCTGCAAGGAAAGCAAAGAGAGCCGTCATGGAGCTTTGCTGATTGCCATCTTCCCTTCACTGAGCACCAGCTTCCTAGCAGTTTTCCCAGAACCTGAGAGAAATCTGCTGTTGTGAAATGAATGGAAGGATGTAATGTCTTCTGTTCTTCCAAGTAGATGTCCTCTGAAGTAGCTTGAGGCACAATTGATGAGACCCTTGTTCCCCATGCATGGAGCTGTTGTGGGAAGAAGACTTGGCAGCTTCTATCAGACAATGAGCTGACTACAGAAAACAGGGAATGCTGAGAATGTAGTGTAGACTGGACACTTCCAGAGTTTCAGGAAACATGACCCAAGACCCTAAAGGCTCTTTGTGTTTGTATGTGCTGGTGTGGAGAAGAGAGAGCCCAGAATTAAGAACTTACGCTGTGCTGGTTATGTGGTAAGCAAAGGCGCTTGCTGTCTGCACTACAGCAGCACCACCATGAGGGTGGGATGTTCCAGTGGAATGGGAAGTGGTGACCAACAGTCATACGAAAATGGTCCCAACCCAGGGACAGAAGATACCTCAGCCTCTGTTTGTCCAGAGCAGGCCTCTCTGCTTTCTCATTCTCTGAGCTTTAACCCAGGGCTGCAGATGGTGCTGACCAAGTTCTTAAAGAAGGAAGAACTAAATGCTCAGATGTTCCTTCTAATCTCTGACATTCTGAGAACCTGTAGTAGCATTTCACTTGGATTGATAGAGGGAATTAAAGAGATTCTGATTTAGCAATATTTCTCTATTAGTAAAGATTTGGGGAAAGGAGTATTGCTATCTACAGTACAAATAGAAGAAAAAAATAGTGGAAGGGGACAAAGTGTGAGTGGTATGAAAGAATCACCAACTGTTGCTTTAATGGCCTTTCCTACTAAAATCAGTAAACAGTAGGTCATTGTACTCATTTGGAAGTATGGTGCAGTGAGTACATTGAGGAGATGACAAATACTGTTTTACACACCTAAAGTTTTTTTAACTAAACTATAATTATTCGACATTTCATACATCATGTTCAAGTATAAAACACTAGTCGCACTGGTCATAGTGTGATTCTTTTCTTCTATACCTTCACCTTGTGACTTTGTGCAACTGGAGAATTATCCAGAGGTGAAGTGAAAATTGAAAACTCTAAGAGGCTCATTATATTTAGCACTTGCAGTTGTAGTTTGTTTTAGAAGCAAGCTTTGAGGAGATTTTTTGGTTACCCTTTCTCTTTTGAATAGCACTTCTAGTATTTTCAAATTTTTCAAATATTTACTTACCTAAAAAGGAGAGAAAGAGAGAGAGACTAAGAAAGTAAGAAATTCTCCACCAGTTGTTTCACACCCAAAATAGTTTTTCCACCAGCAAGGACTGGCCCAAGAAGAAACTGAGAGCTGAGAACTTCATCTTCATCTCCGATACCCAAGCACTTGGGCATTCTTCTACTGCATTTCTAGGTGCATTAGCAGGAAACAGATCAGAAACAGAGTAACTGAACTTGAACTGGTATTATAATATGGGGTGCTGAGGACAATTCACCAAAACCTGACTTCTCTGTTTTTAAAAAAGATTTAATTTTTTTAAAAAGTAAGATTGACGAAGAGAAGGAGAGACAGAAATAAAGATCTTCCATCTGCTGGTTTACTCCCCAAATGGGCAAAACAGCCAGAGCTGAGCTGATCCTAAGCCAGGAGCTTCTTCCAAGTATCCTATGTGGGTGTAGGATCCCAAGTCTTTGGACCATCCTCTACTGCTTTCCCAGGCTGTAAGCAAGGATTGGATTGGACGTGGAACAGCCAGGACATGAACCCGCACCCATATGGCATCCCATTGCGTGTAAAGAGAAGATTAAAATAGAGCCGTTGTACCAGGTCGCTTACCTATTTTTATGGTGAAAAAATTAAGCTGCAAGGTTCTCAAAACATGTTAATTTTGTATATATGCTTGTAGCATAAACCTCAACAGCAGACCACTAGATATGCCTTGCTACGGACTGATGACTTACCCATGGTTGAGAGAGAAACCAAAGTATTCTCTCGGGGTTCAATGTTCTTGTCATACGGGCGATATCCATACATGTGAGCAGCACTGTTCACCAACCAGGTGGAATTGAGCACTATTGCATAACGCAGGAAAGTGGCCACATACAAGCTGTGTCGAAAAGTTTCACCCCAGAAGTACCAGGGCACAAACGTGGGCAGGATGAAGCACATCAGCAGGACAGCATGTTTGTAGTACCTGTGTAGAGAGATTGCAGGCTGAGCTGGGCCCTGGGATCAAGACCTGCCCCTTACCGTCCCTCTCACAGGGCTGGGCTGTCTCTTTCCTCCTGTCTGTGAGGACACAAGTGGGATCAGTTGAGCATGCCAAGACCGGCCCTCTCTGTGCAGATGGGGTGAAGAGGAGGGTGACGGACTTCTCTAGCCTCCCAGTATGGGAACCAGCCCATCATGACTAGGATGCTGGGCCCTTAGCTCTTTCCATTATGCACGAGGCCCTGGTGGTGAAGTGATAGGTGAGGTCTCTACCCTGGCTCCTCAGCAGAATCCTGGTGCCTGGGCCCATGTCTCTCTGCCTTTGGGCTCCCTCCTCTTCCCCATCGCATTTTGGGCACAAAGTCCACGGGTGTCCTGCCTCCATTTCCTGTGTTCTTTTCCTTTGTAGGTGCCCTGGGTGCATATTTTATGTTCTAGCATTGTCCCAGGTCAGTCATCACGTGCTGCACTTTGTTGATTTAACTAAGGTAGCTCAGAGAAGGAGGACCAAAGCCTTGGTGCAGACTATGGGCCTGTGGGATGGTAATGTATGGGGTTTGCAACGATGGTTTTGTATCTGTAAACAATCAGTTATTCAACATGAACTTGGCTGGATAAGGCAATGGAGGAAAAGTGGGGTCCCTCTGCCACAGGTGCAGGAGCACTCCTGGCTGCATGGTTCCTCACTCACCTTCTCTGGAACATCAACAGTTTCTCAGCTTTGAGGTCAGACAGGTCCAGCAGCCCACCCTTCTCCTTGACGGCCGGGTGTTTGCGCACCAGCAGCCAGCCCACGTGAGAGAAGAAGAAGCCACGTCTGGAGTTATGGGGATCAGCATCAGTTTCTGAGAACTTGTGGTGGGCGCGGTGGTCTCGGGCCCATTCAAACACATCATTCTGTAGGGACAGAGAATGTGGTGAGGCGGTACTGAAGAGAGATGTTTTCTGAGAAGAATCTGAAGCCTCAGGCGTCCTCTCAACCCTGGGGCATCCTGGAAGTGCTGCCCCCCCTGCCATACACTACCACTGAGCCCTGTGCCCTCCAGAGTCCCTGAAGAGGTTCCTGCCAACTCCTGGGGGGTCCTGTGGTGGGCTGGGTCGGGGGAAGGGTCCAGAGTGCAGATGGCCTTATCAGGGGTGAGCTGTGCTCTTCCACAAGCAGTATGGGTTGGAAAATCTCTCTCTCTTTTAAAATTTATGCATTTTTATTAAAGTCAGATATACAGAGAGGGGGAGAAACAGAGAGGAAGATCTTCCATCCGGTGTTTTACTCCCCAAGTGACTGCTATGGCTGGAGCTGTGCTGATCCAAAACCAGGAGCCCAGGGCCTCTTCCAGGTCTTCCACATGGGTACCGGATCTCAAAAGTTTGAGCCATACTTGACTGCTTTCCCAGACCACAAGCAGAGAGCCTGATGCAAAATGGGTCAGCTGGGATTAGAACTGGCAGCCATATGGAATCCCGGCATGTACAAAGTGACAACTTTAGTTGCTATGCCATTGCCCCAAGCCCAGAAAATGTCTTTTAGGGCCTGCCTGATCCCTGAGCAAGAAGAATGTTAGGCAAGCCATGGAGTGTTAGGGTCCTTGTTGGGGGTTAAAACAGCAGAGAGCTCCATTCTAATGGCAAGAGATGGCTCAAGCTGCTCAGTGACTGGCATGACAGAGGTTGTGATCATAACTACGTATCCCAAGGACCTTTGGGCTTCTCCTGAGACTCTTTCCATCCCTTAAACAAGACAACTTTCCGTTTCTCCCTTCCCTTTGCCTGCAGACAACATCAGGATCCTTCTAGTTGCTGAGACAGAGACAATTATGCAAATTTGAAAAGCACCTAGCATATTGGTTTTTCCTAAGAAGACTAATTTGGTTTCAGTTTTCTTGCTCCAAATTGGACCTTGTACCATAATTTGTCAATTGCTCATTTCTACAGTTTGACAGTTGAGGGACTTTCTTCTCTACATCTTGTTGCTTTCTTAAAACATTTTGACCTAAGAAACTTTAATATTTTCTTTAGCAAGCCTGGCATACCAAGAAGGAAGTGCAATTTTTTATTGTTGTTGTTTTAATTCTCTAGCAACTCAATTTCTTTGTGTTAACTGGGGTTATTCGTCTACCTACCTCCTAAGATTGTTCTGAGGATTGATTAAGTTACTCTGTGTTGATTGCTCAACGTAGTGCTAGACACATATTCAGTGCTATACGATTGTTGGCTGTACTGACGAATTAATGAGCCTGTTAAACATTGGCTTCAAGCTAATGGTGCTGAGGTCCTAAGGCATTGTCTGCCTGCTACACCAGAACAGCCACTGACTTTGCTGCTTAGTCCTTATGATAAAAGATGAAAACAGTCTGTGTGCTAACACAGGAACCTCAGCGTCTAAATTGAAGCAGTCCCTTCCCGTCTCTCTTCTTCCAGGGACTCAGAGCAGTCCACCTGCTTTGCAGACTTCAAGCTGAGCCTGCATTTGCAGTGACATAGAGGAGAGGAAAGGAAAGTGCCACAACTGTCAGAGTGGCTCCTCTGCTGGCACCAGTCCCCTCTGTTTTGCTCCCAGACCATTGCTAGGGTGTGTGGAGAAGCAAGAGGTGAGCCAGCCCCTTACCTGGAAGGCCATGGTGTCAGCAATGATCAAGAAGAGCCGCAGGGGCAGCCGGGCTTTGTAAGTCCTGTGGGTCCACAGACGGTGTGCTCCTGCTGTGACTCCCAGGCCACTGATCACTCTGTAGAAGTACACTGCAAGGAGAGGGCAGGGATGTCACCAACACACCTGAGCTCCACTTTGGCACATGTGTTGGAGATACTCTCCTTAGGCCAGACTGTCCACCTTAGGCTTTGGTTCAGGGTCTGCTTTTTGCTAAGTTTGAAGGATAGCATTCTTGGAAGCCCCTGCCCATTGAAAAGTGCCACCCCCTCCAGCTTTTCTGCCTCTGAAGATAGGCTAAGGAGTTTCATAGAGAATGTAGACAGGCAAGAGAGAGAATAAGGTTCTCATCACTTAGTTACATCACCCCAGGTTCTACTGACACTGATTTTCAGCTAGCATTTGTGGTGTTCAGGCCACAGTTTGCTCCCATGGGACTTAGACCATGTGACTACGTTATCCAGAACACATTGAGCTCTAAGGAACTGGAGTAGCTGTGAGTTGTAGCAGGCATGCAGAGGACTTAAAGCCATCATTGTTTTCTAGGAGATTGGATGTGCTGTAACTGAGCCCCCTGTGTAACTGTGCAGCCAGCCCATCAACAGGAACTACCTTACTAGCCTCTGTCTCCTCCTGTCCTGTGCCCTTCCTTCTCCAGGGCCCCCAGAAGAGCCAGAGGCAGGGTCTGTTGCAGTGACTGTTCTCACTGGTTTTCCTCTGAACTGGAAGGACTTACTGACTTCAAAGCATTGATGCCTTCTTCCCAGAGATAGAAGCTGACCACATCTCTACCTGCTGAAGTCTCTGTGGGACCAAAGCTCTCCATTTATTTAATAGAGGAGGGAAGTGGCTTTGGGCAGGAAGGCAGGTGTGCCAAGCTCAGAAACCAGGAAGGTTCTGTTATGCTGTTTTTACAAGTGGATGATAGACTCGGACAAGTGGACAGGATCCCCTACTGTGGGAACTGGGAAGAGGTCCTAGGCACACTGCTGCATTTTATATCAGCTCCTTTAAGTCTGTCATGAGAATGGCATTAATTCAGCTGGAGATTCATTCCCTCTTGCTTTCCCAAGATAGAAATGCTTGTACAGTCTCACTGAGCCATGTCCCATGGCTTTCATCCCAAGAGAAGAGCTGGAGGGTTTTTCCCTTTGGCTCCCAGAGTTTTCAGGAGTATTTCTTCAGTCCTTCCCCAAGGGTACTTCTGAGAAGTTTTGCAATGGAGGAGATACAAGCCAATCAAAATAGTTAAGCCATGAGAATTGCTGTGAAGACACCTTTACAACTCCAGGAACGTCACCTTCCTGGTGAGAAAATGCTGTTGGGACCAGCATTGTGGCATAATGTGTTAAGCCCCTGCCTAAAGTCTTAGAATTCCTTTTGGGTATCAGTTCAATTTCTGTTTGCTCCACTTATAATACAAGTCCTTGTTAATGTACTTGGGGAAAGCAGCAAGACATAACTGAAGTCCTTAGCTGAACTCACATGAGAGATCCAGTGAAGATCCTGACTCTGATTTCTGGCTTTGGACAAGCCACAGCCCCAGCTGTGATAGCCATTTGGGAGTGTGATTCAGTAGATGCAAGATTCTCCTTTGTCTGTCCTTCCTTCCCTTTCTATCTGTAACATTGCCCTTTGAAGAGGAAAAAAAAGTGTTGTTTCAGACATTTCCTGGAAAAACAGTAATCTGAGCAGGTGTATCTTGGTTGATTTCACTGGAACTTGGAGGATTTCCCAAGATAACATTTGAGGGTTCCTTCTTGACCTGAGTGTTCCCAGGAAAGCTGCTAACTATTAAATACCTGCCTTTCTGGCAAATTGCCCTTCAGAATGAGCTGATGGAAATCAACCTGCCACACTGGAAACCTGCAAGCTGCTTAATAGAGAGGAATTTCTACCTGACTCCTGCTCAGAGTAGCTACTTGGGCCCCGGGGTCTGTAGAACTTCCTGCTGCTTTCCCCTACCCTGCCTTCTGGGAACACATATGAAACTACCTGCAAGGAAAAGGAATGGCTACACAAGTACCTCACTGAGAATGCTGAGCTAAGGGAAGGTCACGGACAAATTGACAATAATAACCCTCTTTATGGTGGTTTTAGGTTGAAGCCACTCTGTGCTTTCCTTCCTGGCCTACCCTGACTGTCCCTGTCAGGAGGGGAAGGTATGTGGCCAAGGGGAAGGTGCTGGGTTCTGGGCACTTTAAGGCATATGGACAGAAATGCTGAGATCGGTCTGATGGGAAATGGAACATGAAATAGGATCTGTTTTAAGTCTATTTTATGGAAAGCACACTGGAGACTGGCATGGAGCAGTAGAACAACATGTCTGTGTATCGTGGCTAATACAAAAACCTTCTCCATCATTCTCTATACCAAAGGAGTGTGGCCTGGCCAAGGAAGAGGACCCAAAGAGTTTCCCAGATAGCCACCTTTCCCTTCCTCATGCCAACAAGCCCTCTCCCTCAACAGAGGCCCCCTGCTCGATCCCATGAGTGGGCCCATCGTCCACCATAAAGCTGTGGGTGTGTACCAGGCTCCCCTGCCTCTCAGCTCAGGGGCTGGTCTTGTTTCTGGCAGGGCTGAGACAGGAGCCAAGCAAATGACTCAAACATCAAAGTTCTCAAGGACGGCTGACTCTGGCACAGGTCACTTCAGTCACATGGCACATGGTCTCAGAGCTCCCTCCTGAAGACCCTTGCTAAAGGGCCCCCAGGATTCACTTTCCAGCAGTATCCAAGCCCCCTAGACCACATTCCCAACCCAATGGAGAAATGCCTGGCAAAGCCAGGGTTGGGAGGACCCGGGGCTCTGTGGGAGATCCTGCTTCCCTTCAGAGCAGGGAGAAGCCCTGGGCTTGCTCAGCAGGGTGGGAAGCCACTTACCCCAGAGCCAGGTGTGGAACTTGCAACTGGGCACCAAGGTGATCCCATACAGGGCTCCGATGTGTAGCAGAGCCAGGAGGATAATGTTGCTCCAGACATACTGGAGCTTGGGCCTGGGGCCCTCCTCGTCCTGGTAGCTGGGGTCATAGATGTCATCTTTGAACTCAGGACGAATGTCTTCCTCAGCGGGCAGGGGGTTCTTCCCCAGCTTGTCCTCTCCACCCTGTGGGAGCCTGGAGTGTGGTGTGGTGACAGTAGCAGTTGTGGTTGTGTAGGAGCTGGAGACCTGTATGAGAGGGAAGAGGAGGTCAGGAAAGAGGAGACAGAGGAGAAAGTGGCAGCCACTTGACTTTCTGATCCTGCAAGGATAAGGGAGCGGGCAGGCTCAGACCCTGGGCCATCACCAGGGGAAAAGCAAGTTCAGTCTGTGGCTCAGCATCAGGTATGGGGAGAGTGGGCAGTGTAGTGTACAGGAGGCTGAAGTTCCCAGTAACTGCAGAGGGATGGTGGTGAAACCTAGGGGTGATGAAGGGTAAAACACTTGCATTCATATGAACACACGAAAGAAAAGCCACAGGTACACATAAATTTGCCTGCAGCACTGTGTTTTTCTTTAAAGTGTATGATTCAGTGGTGGAAGAATCAGCCCCCTAAACAGAATAGCATCTGCTATTCTAGTGACGCCAGGCACTCAGGAGAGACGGCTGAGCTCTGTCCCCACCTTTACGTGCAAGCCCTATTGCTGCCATTCAGCCTGCTCAGAGTGGATGCTGGGATGCTTACCTCCTGCTGCAAGTGTGTGAGCATCTTCTTTAGTTTCTGGGTTGCTGGTTTATGTCAGAGACCAAGAGTGAGGACTGGAGTTTGGAAGCGTGGAGACACACAGAGGGGTTGGGATCTGGCACCTGCTGGATTTCAATGCTGGAATCGGTACCTGGGATTCACGGCGGTGCAATCCTGTCTGCATCTGAACCTGCTGAATGCCAGCCTCCTCGCAGCATTGGATTTAAAGGCAAGAGCTGACAGTGGGTGCCTATACCCCATATTTCATCATATAGTTTTTAATCCGCCTCCAAAATAGGACAAGGTGCACAGAGATGACTGACTAAGGATCCCCATGGGAAGTCAAGGTTGAGACAGGAGAGGGGACAGAAAGCTACTGGAGCCCTGAAGGGATGCTGCAGACCCAAATAACTGTGACTCCTCCCCTCTACTCCTAATGCTGCCCTTACTCCTGGCGAAATGCTTAAGGAAGCCTCTCTCAACTCTGGTTGGTTTGGGGTCACACGGAATTGGGTACTACCTTGGCCACACTTGCCATGGGCACAACACAATCTACTATTCCCTCCTCTACCTCTTTCTTCTGCTGATTGCTGGGCCTCTGCCTTTAGCCTTCCCCCTATATACACAAGGACTGGGTGCTATTATGGGGCTGAATTCAAAGGTCATAGTAAAGAGCTGGGCAGAACTTGGGAAGCCACAGTGGTGCCTACTATTCACTCCTTCATCCAGACTTCCTGTACCCAGGTTAGAGGTGGGAATCACTTCACTTCTGTTCTAGGGATTGGGGCCTGGGAATTGGAGACACCCCACGTCCTTCTCCAGATTGTATAAGCAATTCTAGCCTATTGGGTCCAAGTCTTGATCCTATCCACCAACACTAGGATACTAACCCCGGAGCCCACCAGGCTGAGGCCACACCCCAGCGACCTCCACTCACATAGGTGCATCTGTGTTGCAAGTGCATTAATCAGATACCAGAATCCTTGGTCCATGACTCCACAAAGGACACATTGGGTAGTTGTATTACCAAGCCACAGTCGAACTGTGTGGGACATGTTGAATCACCTTCGTGTTGTTGTGGGAGATTGTTAGGGGAATGTTGGACTCATCTTCCTGAGGAAGAGCAGCAGGCCCAGTCATGTGTCTCCACAGCAGCAGGAGAAGGGGTTAGGTGTAGAATGAGAGGAGCCTTTGCATCTTGAGTGATCACTGCCAGTTCACAGAGTCGTTTTGCTGCTTCCTCTGTAAGGTGGGCACTTTATTATCCTACTGGAAAGAGAAGCCCTGGGCAGATGCCGTAACCTGCCTGTGGTCACAATAGCCAGGAAGTCATGGAGCTGGGCGATTCCAGAAACATGATGCCAAAGCCCAACTTTTTTTTTTTCTGATAAAGTTTGTTTAGAAAGTGAGGATATGACAAAAACACATTAAGGGTTACAGTGGACAGAGATAGGAAAGATGGGTGAGAGATATTTCTGTTTTCATCCTGTGTCCACTGGGAGAGTATGCCCCTCCCTGTTGCCTGGCTTCTTGTGAGCCTGGGAAAGGGAGTGGTGACATGATGCCACCTCCAAATCCCAGGGGAAGAGGAATATAATGGGGGAAGGAGTTATTTGAAATAGACAGGTAGGCAGACTGTATTACATAGGGTGAGGGAAGTATGGCTTCTAATTTGTGAATCTGTTGTTGTTATCTGCCTGTCCCCTATCCCATTTCGTTTCCTCTTGAGATTTGCTGACCCCTATTCTTAAGGGTTGCTGAAGGATATAGATTCATATCCACTTCTGTGACTGCTTTCTGCTGATTAGTGGTGTGGCCTTGCATGTCCCTGACTTGGAAATCTCGTTATGTCTTATCGAATGGATCCATCTCATGAGCCATAAAAAGTCTAGTTGATGCCGAAGGCTGTGTCCCCATATTATCATCACCATTCCAAGAAGGTGCTGGGTTCTTCTTACTCTTTCTCCTTTCTTCTTTCTCCTTTATTCTTGTTTTGAAACAGCATCTGAGGCCCTTGACATGAGCAGGCTGACTCATCTTTCACGTGTATGTGGACATGATCCTCTGCCCTGCACAGGAGTCAGCATAGAAGATGGCACAACACGCACTGTGTGTTCTGATGCCAGGACACACTCTGGTGTCGAGTCCCTGAGATTGGAGATCACACTGTCCTGGAGCTGACAGGACTTAAAAGCCCATGTTGGGCTTGGTAATATAAAAGGATATCAATGGGAATCTCCCCAGGACTCGAGCCTCAGGCCTCTAGGCTAGCACCATTGCGACCACCTAAAACCCACCAGATTCCTGGCCTGTTTTCCCAGACCAGTGCCGAGTTGTATAACAGGTGGGGCCAACAGAGGACCCCTTAAGGCACTTGGCCTATTGGTGCCTAACTGACAGGACCCCAGTCTCAGGCCATTCTCCAGGATCAGCTCAGTGTTGTGCCAGGGGTATGGATTGCCTAGGACCCAGTGTTAGGCCACTGGCCTGCTACTCCCAGGCCGGTGCTTTGGTCTGCTTGCAGGTAAAGCCTTCCTAGAACCCAGGGTCCCTTGATATGTCTGCTTCAATCTGGTGTGTTGGAATGCTAGGGTTTGGCTTGCTTAGGACCCAGCATCAGGCCCTGATCGGCACCTCTCTGACTGATGCTTTGGTGTGCTACTGATGTGCTTACCAAGGAAGCCAGTGTCAGACCCCTGGACTGCGAGAGTCCATATTGACACACTGGAATGCTGCAGATGTCGCCTGACTAGGACATGTAACAGAGCTGAGCTCAGGACTTTAGTGTCCCAGACCTACATATATATGCTTTGACTCGTGGACCTGCACCTTTTGCCCCATGCTCTTTGTGCCTGGGGAGTCTCATCTGCAAAGCTGGGCAACAGATAAGTCGTGTATTCAAGCACTTCCATTCCGTGCCCAGTGTGCCCCACATGCCCAGGACCCTGCAAATGGAAGAGGAATAGGCCAGGAGTCCTGTGTAAGGATTGGCTCCAAGGGGGTGCCCTGGGCTGTATTACTCAGTGAGTCAGTCTGTTCATCTGCTCCCGCAGAGCAAACTGCTGAGGGTGGAGCAGTTTTCATAACAGCAAATATTCCTCACAGTTCTGATCAAACACCGGCAGATGGTGAAGGCCCCTTTCCTGCTGTGTGGATGGCCATCTTTCACTGTGCATTCCCTTGTGCATTCACTGAGATATTGAGGGGGAGGAGGATTCTTTTTCAGAGGCAGTGATGTCATTCATGAAGGCCCTGCGTTTGTAACCCAAACACCTGCTAAGCACCAAGCTCTAAATAAACACAAAATTCCATCCCAAGAGGCTGTGCTTCCCTAAAATGTTAGGAGGAGGGGATACACCTTTATTCTACTGCATTCATGAAGGAAGAGAGCTCAGGATTTCTTCTGGGGCCTACCTCCACTGTGGCTCGAGATGGCTATGCTGTGGACACCAGCTGTGCTTAGATTGTAACTGCCCAGGCACACTCACCCTGGTGTCTCCCAGTGCTGTGCCCATCGGGAACCATCTGAATGCCAGGATTCCCTGGACACTGCTCTCCTGTGTCCTTAGATCCTGGTGGACACCACTGCTGCTGTGCTTACTTTGGGCTGGTGGCATTGCTTAGGCATCGTCTTCTGCCAGAGAAAGCAAGGGGAGGTATGCCCAGGCCAAGCATGGGACAGAGACATCATCTTCCTCCCTAAAGACTGCTGCCCTGAAGAAGTCCAGAGAAGGGATAGGGCAATGCCCCTTTCAGGATCTGGAACCAGGCAAAGTAGTAAGTGGTTCATGCATGTGTGTTCAGGGCTGTGATGTGTCACCCAGTAGTCAGACTCCTTGGAGGTGGTGACTATCTACCAAGAGAGACCATTTGTGGGAAATAATGGTATAGGGGAAGCATGAGCCTTGGTATTCCATCAGGAAGTAATTGGAATTTATAAATAAGGATGTGTTCAGTATTTGTGTATAATGGGATTAGTAATAACCTAGCTTTAATAAATATTTTAGGGCCTAGCACAGTGGCCCAGCAGCTAAATTACCTGCCTTAAATGCTCCAGGATCCCATGTGGGTGCAGGTTCTGGTCCTGACAGCCACACCTCCCATCCAGCTCCCTGCTTGTGGCCTGGGAAAACAGTCGAGTACAGTTTAAAGCCTTGGGACCCTGCACCCATGTGGAAGACCCAGAAGTTCCTGGCTCCTGGTTTCAGATCTGCCCATATCTGGTCGTTGTGGTCACTAGGAGAGTGAATCATCAGACGGAAGTTCTTCCTCTCTGTCTCTCCTCCTCTCTATGTATCTGACTTTGCAATAAAAATAATAAATAAATCTTTAAAAAATAAATGTTTTATATAGATGAGGGAAGTAGAAAGTATGCTTAAGAGATACACAATGGAAATACAAACAGTTCTTTCTGGAAAGGAACCCAAGATTTCCTTGTACTTGTAAAATTTCATTTTGAGTGTTCCCATGAGGTAGCAAGGAAAACAGGTCCCATTGAGCCCCCTAAGCTGAAGAGTATGTGAAGAGTCAGATGTTTATATTGCCCTTTGGCTACAATCCATGCTTCTTTTCGTTGCTGCAAGGCCCTCTAAGAGCAGACCCCTCCTCACTGTATGCCTGCTGCTGCTTGCTTCATCTCTGGCCACTCCACCCCTTCTCCCTGTGGTCTCTTCCCCTATGGTACTTCTGGAGCCTGGGTACATTCCTTTCTTCTGTGTGGAGCACTCTCCTGCCATCCCCCTTCTCACACAGGCCTCTCACTGAGTGAATTCCTGTCTGCTTCAGTTCTTCAGTAACTGTAGCAGCCTGGCTGCTATTGGATCCATTCTCCCAGTGGCTGCTGGTTTTGTGACTTTCATTGTGTTCTGCTGGGATGCCCTCTGGGGATAGGGACAGTGTCTGGCTCACCTCCATCTCCCAGCACTACCTGGCTGCAGATGAGCTTTAATAGCATTCCACATGTTGTGTAATTCATGAGCAGGACATTTTTGAAGATCTCTCCTTTTCTAGGCTGTGGTGTAATA